CCTACTTTGCACTCAACTGACAACACATCCTCGTGCAGGCTGAACACCTTTTACGTTCAAACTTAAGCCGTGATGTAACGAGCAAAACGCTACAGTGCAGTACAAGCCGACATTTTCAGTAAGTCATTTCGGAAACGTTTTAAAATATTGCACATTGTGGCCACACCTGCCATTGGTGATTCTAATTCAGTGCGCGCAGGTTCACTTCTGTGTCGCTACACGGGGCTCGGGACTTGCCCTGCTAAACCAGGGAGAATGCAAGATGGCTGCGATCGAGGTTAAGGTGGCACATTCTATTCATCCGTGGCACAATCTATTCATCTATGAATAAACTTGTCCCAACCATAGAAATGTGGAATTTCCACCATCGGTGCAGCACTATTGGGAGATTGATGGAGGGGGGGGTGGAGATATGAACCTCATGGCGGGACCCCAGGGTCCTGAATAAACGGAAGTCAAAATAGTAATTAATTATTTTGGCGACTCCGTGCCACCGCATACACAAACGCCGCGACACACCTTGCATGGAACATTCACCAAATTTTGAAACTTTGATTAGCGCATCGTGTAGAGCTCGCCGAGAGGAATAGATTGTCGTGTCGTTTGCCTTCAACAGACATAAAATGACGTCGCAACGCAGTTTATGCGAGAGCCGGGGGCTTATGGGACCCCAGGATCCTGCCATAAGGTAAATTTATGTTGACTAACATTTTGAGATCATATACTATATTATTATATATTCAGGTATTTTGAAATGTTATTCTATCATTATGAAGTACAATATTTTTTTTTCCAAAGAGCAATAGGCCCACAGGGATCTAAAATGCCAAATGGCCAGCAACAAACAGCACTTTTGAAGGTGCAATCGTTGAAAATGTAATATAAGTTTCTTGAATTGAGCAAGGTTGTGAGAACTTTGATAAAAGAGACCATGGGAGGGAATTCCAATGTCGAGCAGTGCGACAAAAGAAACAAAAAGAGAAGTGCTGTGACCTGCAGTGTGGCGGGTGAGAGTGCGAGTGAGTGGCTGGGTAGGCGAGTGGGTTGAGTGTTGTTGCTGTATGCTACAGGGAGCAGTAGTGGAGTGGCTCGCCTGCTGCGCTATGTCCCCGGCGACCCGAGTTCGATTCTCGATCACGGTCACCAACACCAGTGACGATTATCTGAACTGGTCCTGGGTCTCCCCTAGGTCATCTCAGCCTCAAATGAAAGAGCCGGGCGTGGTGTCTGGTAGACCGAGTTCTCAACACGGTTGGAGGATGAATCAATGAGTGAAGAGTGAAGTTCATGAGAACAGTAACCATGGTGGTAGCAACAGAAGAGTGTTTACACCTACAGGTGTTGTGTACGTTAGTGGTTACACATTTGTAGACAGGGCAAAAGGTACAAAACGTAAGACGGCAAGTGGAGACAAAATATCAGTTTCACCGTTGATCAGGGGGGAACAAATGGCTCAGATGTATCAATGCGCAGACAACACATTTTGTCCCAACTAAAGTGGCCACTTCTAGCGCCTAACTCTGCTGCCTTGCCTCTAAACGGGGCATAGCGAAAACCAGCGGTGTGCCCCCAGACCCCCAGCGAGGCCCCAGCGGCAGGTGTTGCCCTGGCTTTGAGAGCGAACACATCCCTGGCCTCGAACGTCAACGATTACTGCTGCCTGCGCAGAATCGGGGTTGGGGGGGGCCGCACGAGCCTCGTATAAATAGCTAAAGCTTCCGACCGTGGGGAAAACTCAAGAGGAGTGTGTGCCCGGTGCCCCTGCCCCCTCTGCCTCTCCGAAGATTCCTGGGCCTTGTTTCCAGCGCTGCACGCAACGCACCCCCCCCAACCCCGGTGCACGTTGTTCGGCGACGGGGCCCCGGCGAGTGGGATCAAGACGCTTTCTTCCTTAGCGACAACTGCCAAGCGGGCATGCGCGTGTGCACGTGTGCGTGTGTGTGTGCGCGCGTGTGTGCGCGCGTGTGCGCGTGCGTGTGCGCGTGTGTGTGTTTTGTGAGTCTGGCGTCGAGCTCACCTCTTTGTAAGCGCGCCGGTTTGTCGCCATCGATTAAGCGGTTGACTCGGTTCGGTACATTTTAGTTTGTATATATTCGCATGTCAAAACAAACCGTCCTATAATGAGACGTTTGCAAATTTAATCCTTTTTTTCATTAAGTTAAGTGTGCGAGGTCTGTTATTTATATGCATATTTTACACGTATATACTCAATATACAGCAGAGGCTATGTACAGTTATTTTTTCCCATGGATAAACGGGGGGCTCTGCCATAGGAATGTGGAATTTCCACCAGACAATATAGATAAGCACCAGTACCCCTTGCTCTTCCGAGCGTGCAGCCACTTGGAATTGCTGCTGATTGTATACAGTTCACATTGTGTGCGTTCACTTCTTCCAATACACTTGTGAGCTAATTATGTCTATGTGCAGATCGACGGTTTGGCAAAGCAGCACTGCACGCAGTACTTGGATTAAGGCAGGGGGCTTTAGGGGCTGCAGTCCGGGATCTTGGATTTTCAGGGGTCCCCCCAAAAATATACGTACAGATTTATAATGGTTGAAACGCAATCCTGTTGCACTGGGATAAATCCTATAGGTAATTTGGTAATTACAGCACCTGGCATTAATGCGTGTATTACTGTTAGTTATGTGTCCTGAAATTAAAACAGCTGTCTATGTTTTATATTTTCATTGGCTTTACGATTCATGTATCGCACCATAAATACGAGAACTCAAATGGCCAAGGTAAAAAACAATGGAGTGTTCGGCATCGCGCGTTGATTCGTAGTGAAACAGTTAAGATAATTAAATGCATTTACAAAAATTATAAAATCTAATCGGGGTCGACCTGCCATGCACAGCAGGGTTGTATGCGCTGCTGGGCTACATGATGGGATGCAGAAGCCAGTGCACCAAAATCCATTGTTGTACAGCTCTGCTCTCGTAACTATGCTCCTGGTGGTGCATTTAATCCGGCCCTTACTGCATGCACACACATGCACGTGGAGGTAGGTAGATAGGTAGCCACACACGAGCTCACCACGAGGCCTCCACTGTTTCAAGTGTGCTGCCAAACTGCAGGCGTATCTAAGACCCCCCCCCCCTTTTTGGGGGCCACAGAGTGACTTGGCCACATGTTGTTTGCTCAGGGCCTGATGACTGATGGCAAAGTGGCACCTTGAGAGATCAGCTTTGGCAAGGCTGGGCTGCAGTCAGGGGTGGGAGAAGGGGCAGCACGAGTGAGTTTTAGAGCTCACTCGTGGCAGGGGAATTGAGCAAAGAGGTTGGGACGGAGAGTGAAGGCGCCGTGGTGGCGAGATGTTATCTCGCTTGCCTGGTATGGAGGAGGTCGTGGGTTCGATCCCGACCCTGACACCTGTATATTTGGAGTTTGCATGTTCTCTAGATCCTCCGGTTTTTCCATCCACATTTAGAATCAGGCATTTAGAGTATTTGGTCGCTGTAAATGTCCACATGATGATGATGATGATAAGCCACATGGCTGAGCAACCATTTTTCAGAAGCCAGGTCGCTTCTGAAAAAGAGCTACGTAGCTCAGTGGGCCGTACCTGGGAAATAACAAAACATTGTTGAGTTGTTGAGTGGACAGGCTGGCGAGGTTGCAGCGGGTTAAGGGGCAGCGGGGCATGAGCTGGAGAGCTTGCGGGCAAAGGGGGACCATCAGGCGTCGGTTACCCCAATGGTGCAGTGGAGTCGTGAGCTGCCGAGGGCAGTTTCGTAACCGACAGTGGAGTCCCCCCCCCCCCCACTTGACCCTCCCCCCCGCTCGCCCGCCCCCACAGCTCAAGGAAACTCTCGAAAGTAAACAGTGAACACCCCTCGCCTGGTGCAGCGCCCACGCCAGACCCGTGTGTGGCAATGCATCGTCGCGACAAGGGGTGGGGAACAACTTGGTGAATGTAGGTTTTTGCCACAATTGTATACTCGGATGTGTTTACACCTCAAACCTCGGTTAACTCTGCGAACGTCAGACAACTTCAAATTATTGTTTTTGTTTTTCTCGAAATATAGCCGAATAAAAGTTGTTTGTCGAATTGTAAACGATGCTATGTTGTTTGAGCAGCAGCAGTATAGTGGTTTACAATACTGTGCTACGCTTGCTACCCTTCCCTGTCATGCAGAACACCCATGGCAACCGAACTTAATGTGGCTTGGATCACCTCTAAGTCGACTCGGCCTTAAATTGAGTATCTGGTCGAGTGTGTGTGAACATTGGCACTCGGGAGACAAAGGGAACATTTCGATTTAAAGCTTTCGTGACTGCAATGATTCATCTTCTTTGGTTCTTTCGGTAAAGTCACGTAGAATGATAATAAAATAATAAATTGGTAGGACAGACAGTCTCGCCCCCTTCACCTGATGAAGGCCGCTTGTGTTGTGGCCGAAACGTCGTGAGAATATTATTGTGTTATTTTATTTTATCATTTTATTATTTTATTATCATTCTACGTGACTTTACCGAAAGAACCAAAGAAGACAAAGGGAACAGTTTGTAGTGCTGACCACACTATCGTTTCTCGCTCATGTGCAGGGCCCGCCTCAATAGGTGCTCGCTAACAGCACTTGCCCTAACAGCCAATTTACTGCTAAACGGAGGGGGATCTTTGACTACACGCGGTTGTCCACGCTTGATTATTTACATATTTAATGACGCACTACCCAGCGTTTCGGTCACACGACATCATGCCATTGGCGGGTGAATCGAGCGCTCAAAGAGTGCGGTGACACTCTGCCACGCTTTCTCAAGGCTCCATTGGCCCCCCGAGTGCCATTTAGCCCAAGGTGCCAGTTTTAGCAACAAGTTAATGTAAAATTACTCTAATAGATGTCGCGTCCATTCAAAAACGCAATTTGAATGCTAATGTCCACGTGGCGGGCATGTTGACCCGAACGCGTGCACGCTCCTTCGCGGCGATTTCAAGGTAATGCAGAGCGAGCGACACCGCGCGCGCCGGTGGATGTTGGCGCCATGCATTCACCTGCCGCCGCGGCAGCTTGGGTGTCCTTGTCGAACGCCTCCAGGATCAGCGTGTACGCCCTCTGCGAGACGAGAGCAAAGAAAAAAACTTACACGCGCTCGAGCGAGGACCCCCCGACCCGGCATTGCGACGTCAAGGCACGGTTTAAAACGGAGCTGGCGGGGAGGGCCTCTGTGGTGCCGACGGACCGCTTTGGACGGAGCCGGGGTCTTACTCTTCCATGCGGGATGGACGTCCTGGGTAGAGATGGTATTAGAGGCACGCTTTGTCCAACTGCCATGCGGCTTGCCCATTGATTCACTGCAGAGTGGCCATTTATACTGCTGGGTGAGCAGAAGCAAGCAGGGGAAATTCACAAATTGTCCCATTCTGATTTAAAGCTTTGACTGCAGGGATTCCTATTCTTGGTTCTTTTGGTAAAGTCACATAGAAGGGAAACAATAAAATAAAAAATAAAAATAAAATATAAAACAATAAAATTCTCACGACCTTTCGACTGCAACACAAGCAATCATCATCAGGTGTGAAAACCACAGCAAGAAAATGTTCTTGCTGTGGCAAGAAAATGTTCTTGCTGTGGTCGAAACGTCGTGAGAATTTTTATTTGGTTTAACACTTAGGCTTCCGCGACCAATATTCTTCATAATAAAGATTTTTGGGTTAGATCGCGTTATTTATAAATGTGTCGTAACCCTCCACCACCCGACACGGCCAATCAGCAAAAAATTGTCACGTTGACAAAAGACAAATAATTCACTACTTTAGCCCACCGGTGTGTTGAAGAGTGAATCCACAACATTTACAGTTTGAGTACGACGTTTCGCTGGTAAATACATCCAGCATCATCGGGCAATTCGCTGGATGTAATTACCAGCGAAACGTCGTACTCAAACTGTAAATGTTGTGGATTCACTCTTCAACACACCGGTGGGCTAAAGTAGTGACTTATTTGTCTTTTGTCAACGTGACACTTTTTTGCTGATTGGCCGTGTCGGGTGGTGGAGGGTTACGACACATTTATAAATGACGCGATCTAACCCAAAAACCTTTATTATGAAGAATTTTTATTGTTTCATATTTTATTTTTTATTTTATTGTTTCCCTTCTACGTGACTTTACCGAAATAACCAAGAATATAAATTGTCCCATTGTTTCAAGTGCCATACAGAGAGATGGAATTGAACCAAAAATGATGCAAATGCAAAGGGGACCATGAATGACAACTTAACCCGTGATGACCATAACTTTGCCTTACCCAGAAAAAAAACGCAGAGTGGAACGTTTTTTTCTTTCCCCACATCTGCACATTCGAAGTGGATTTTTTGGATTTGGGGACATCATGGTTTGGTGGATGCAAATACAAGTTCGTCGTGTTTAGATCCATTATATATGACAGTGTTTACGAGAGACATTGAGATGCAAAAGATACACCTCTAAAAGCTACTTTCATATATTTCATCTTTCAGCGTGTAAGGGGCACATGTAAAAAAATAATATTCGCGCAAACATTCGCTTCGACATATAAATGCCTTTGTTAAAAACAATACAACATTTTGCGGGAAAAATATTTTGGTTTACTTTATGAAAAGTAAAAAAAGCACAAGCAAGCAGCGATGCTATCGGAGCATCAGACCGAGTCCGCGTGTGCATGCAATGTAAGCACGGAATCCTGCAGTGCGAGCTTCATCACGTGGAGTGATATGGCCAAACCGGTCCTTCCCAATACGCCATAACGCCAGCGTTGCGTAAAATACAAACAACACTCACAGCCTCTCTCCTGTGTGCTCGCAGAGGACAGTGTGTGCCGAGCGCTCTTGAAAAATAATCCTCCCATCCAAAAGCCTGCTCTCCACTTTGTGAGAATTAATATTTACAGTCCTTTTCTCAATCCACCGCTGGATAGAGGCCTAGCCCGGCGGTGTCGTGACAGTCATGGGGGATGTGTGGCCACACTTTACCAACGTGATCACTGTGGATTGCTGATAAGAGGGGAGTGGGTTGGACCAAGACTGTTTCGGATATGGTCAACTCAGCCTCAAATGAGTACTTGGTGTGATTTGTAAACACCCTATTAGGGAGACAAAGGCAGCCGGGAACGGTGTTGGTGGACAGCCACCATCATGTGCTGTGCCGGTCTTCATAGATGTTTGCAAATAACACTTGCCCCAACAGTCTAAAACGGCTCTATTGGGGATCTCTGTCTTTGTATTAACGGTGGGGGTAGCAGTCAGGCCCAGGACTGGTTCAGATATCACACGCCATTGATGTTAGCCATGGCTGGGAATCGAATGCAGCTGCTGCGTTCATCGTCCAGAGAAAGCTAACCGCCGCGCAAAAACTCCATCAAATATGCCAGTTTAAATTATGAATATTCATGTGCATCAGCCAAATTGCAGTATTTTCACGGGTCACTGACAAAACGTGAATGGATTTATGAAATACCTTCGACCAGACGTGATGCTCATTTTGAGTGTCCAAGTATAAATATTTCCTCTCAAACACTGGACCAGATACACATTACATTGCTGCTTATATACTACTGTCTTCACAGCCCACAATTGTATCCCGTCACCTTCACATTAATAAAATATTGTAATTACAAGCGCCTCCAATTGGTCCCACATTGGAGGGTATCTCACTCCGGGTTTGTGACGCGCTCGTGACACTGGATTTCCCTCTTTGATGTCTGTGTTTTGGGTTCTTGAATAAAAAAATAAAGTAAATAAATTACTGTATGGTATGCGTAAGTGAAAATGATGGTTGTCTAACTGTGCGTATCGTCTGTTACTGCGAGCTGTGTGAAATTTCAACATCCTCTGCCTCAGAATATTCTTGGTTGCAGGTCGAAGGGTCGATTTTCTTTTCCTCGTTATTTTTGTTCGTGGTGTCAAATTCAATTTTTTTTTACAAAATTCTGCTGCAACACTCCAATTCGCCCCATATTTTGTGCTGCATGCCTCTTAGACCTTAATGAATGTCGAGCATTCTTAATGTATGATTAAAACATTACTTATTCTGTACGGGGAGCAGCAATAATTACATCAAATTAATGCAAACACGCAAACAGAAAATGAGTAACTCATTTCAAAACCACTCTAATGTTCGCATGACTCAAGGGCAGATAGGTTACACAAAAGCTGCTTTCGGGAAAGAAAAAGTTTCATGGAGACGCCAAGCTGTAGTCAGGTCGAGCTTGCTTGGCCTGTGGGTTATACTTTGCCGGTGTTTATCTTACGACAGCTACGGTATGGAGGGATTTTTACTTGGTCTTCAGCATCTCATGCGTGCAGTACATTCTTGTCGGGTGGGTTTTTCTTTAATCTGTTTCCTCCTCAGCCAGTGACACACCTCATTATTCACAGCCATAGCTTGCTGGTACAATTATTTATAACCATTGTGGTCATTTGCAGAAAACAAACGTCATTAGTGTCTGCTCGTACACATACGACATGCGCTTGCCAACAATCGCATCACAAGGACAAAAATCTCCCATAGAGCCTTCATAGACTTTTGGGGTATGAGCTCTTCGCGAGTGCCTATGAGGGCCAACACAGCACACGAGGGGGTGGGTGGCCAGCACCACGCCCGGCCCGCCTTTGTCTCCCTAAGTGGTGATGTTTACACACCGCACCAAGGACTAACTGGAGGCTGAAACGACCTAAGGGAGGCTCCGTGCGGACAAATGAGTTGTGTCGCCGGGTTCGTCGAGCAGTGCGCTCACTGCTGCAAGAACCGCTCCCCACACACACGCACATGCTGCACCTTGGGGCTCACCCCACACAATAATAATAATGCTGGTGGCAGTGTGAGCGTGGAAATAAGACATGAGATGACGATGGTCAAAAGCGATGACGATGATGATGATGGTGATTTGGTTATGATGGCATTAAGAGGCAATTATTAAATAGGACAACACTGACGGCATCGGCTTATTCATAGGACAGCACTGTCTGTCAAGAATAATGATAAACTGCTGTAAACATAATTTTTGCATATATAGCGACGGAAATGATATAAAACATCAGGAGGCGTCAGAAGCACGGTAAAATAAACGTGCGTACAAATATGAGTTCGATAAAAGCCAAGCAGTTATGCAATTAGTCGTTGTATAAATGCCTTTCAACATTTTTTATTCCAGTTGCCAACAGAAACAAGTTAAATGAGTGTTGGCGTTTGGTAAAACTATCAGAGGTATGGGGAGGGGGGCACAGCTCACGTTAATCATTATCAAGCTTTATTTCTACACAGCCAAAGGGCCAATTCTCGTACGAGCTCTCTCCCATAACATACAGGAAACATTCCTCTGGTATGGCAACAAAACCAGGCATGTTCTAACCTGCCCCGAAGGGATTCCAGTCAAGAGAATTGTATCATTATATATAGTTCATTAGATCAAACATAAGCAGAAGTATTAGATGCGTCATTAATAGGCATAGTTACACCACACTCTGGGACTGGGTGGGTGACACTTAATTGGAAACTGCTCGGAGTAATACGCTGCTCCTCTGACATCTTCCAAGAACGATGTCTTTATGTGAAGAAGACTAAAGACTGCAGCTGACGAGCGTAGCTTGAACCCGGCGACCCGAGTTGGATTCCCGACCACGGTTAACGTCCACGGCGAGTAATTAATCTGAACCCTGCAGTCCTGGAACCTACCCCCTCACAAACAAGCACCGACCAACGTGGTGAAGTATGGTCAAACAACCTCTGTGACTGACACGGCGTGGGGGGACAGCACTTCATCCAGCAGTGGATTTGACCACGGGCTGTAAATAACAATAATCACAACATAATTACAAACGGGAATTCTGCATAGCAACAAGTGAAAGAAAGCCAATGCTGAAGTATAGATGTGAAGTTCACCGACTGAAAAGCATGAAAATATATTTTAAAACGAACGTCAATGAGAATGCGCTCGTACAGTGCAAGTGCTGCGCCAGGTATAAACATTTAGACCGTGCCCCTTTTTTATTCGGGGCAATGAAACTCAACTTGACATCTGGAAACTCGAAGAGGCATTCGCGTTGCTAAGTAGTTCCGCGAAACCGTCGGGGACGT